CGTCTCCCCTGCCCCTGGGGTGGTGTGGAGAAGGGGTTGCACCTCCACTCGACTCCAGGCGCGCGCTTGTCTCCCACGCCAGGACCGCACCCCCCTCTCCCCCACCCGGCTGCACTGGGCCGGCGCCTAGCAGCCCACTTAGAACTGGTGACTGTTGAATTAAAACAATGCATCGCGAAGGCCCAGCGGGTGCTGACACGATGTGATTTCTGCCCAGGGCTCTGATTGTGAAGTGAAGACATTCAATGAAGCGCGGGTAAACGGGGAGTAACTATGACTCTCTTAAGGTAGCCAAATGCCTCCTCATCTAATTAGTGATGCGCATGAATGGATGAACGAGATTCCCACTGTCCCTACCTCCTATCCAGCCAAACCACAGCCAAGGGTTGGCGGAATCAGCGGGGAAAGAAGACCCTGTTGAGCTTGACTCTAGTCTGGCAGGTGAAGAGACATGAGAGGTGTAGAATAAGTGGGAGGCCTGGCGCCCCTCCATCTCTGCGAGGGGGTGGGGTCAGCCAGTGAAATACCACCACTGGGGGGGACAGTGCCAGGTGGGGAGTGTGACTGGGGTGATACACCTGTCACACAGGAACGTAGGTGTCCTAAGGCGAGCTCAGGAGGACAGAAACCTCCCGCGGTGCAGAAGGGCAAAAGCTCGCTTGATCTTGATTTTCAGTACGAATACAGACCGTGAAAACGGGGCCTCACGATCCTTCTGACCTTCTGGGTTAGAAGCAGGAGGTGTCAGAAAAGTCACCACAGGAATAACTGGCTTGTGGTGGCCAAGCGTTCATAGCGACGTCGCTTTCTCATCCTTCACTGTGGGCTCTTCCCATCATTCCCATCATTGTGAAGCAGAATTCCTCACGTGTGGGATTGCTCACCCACTAAGAGGGAACGTGAGATGGGTTAGATTCAACCTCCTGAGGATGTGTTGTTGCCATGGTAATCCTGCTCAGTAGGAGAGGAACCGGAGGTTCAGTTGGTGGATGTGCTTGGCTGAGGAGCCCATGGGGCGAAGCTACCATCTGTGGGATTATGACGGAAGCTTCTAAATCAGAATCCCGCCCAGACAGAACCATAAGGCTGCACCTCGGGCCTCGGTTGCCCTCAGATAGCCGGTCCCTGCCGGCGGGCAGTCTCGCTCCCTCTGCGCATCTGGTAGGTCTGGTGCGGAGAGCCCTTGGTCCTGGGAAATGGGGTGCGGCTGGAAAGGGGTCCGCCCCCTCCGTTCTTCACGCAATGCACATTTGTGGGGAGCCTGGTGCTAAACCATTCGCAGTTGACCTGCTTCTGGGTGGGGGTTTTGTAAGTAGCAGAGCAGCTCCCTCGCTGTGATCTATTGAAAGTCAGCCCTCCACACAAGGGTTTGTCTCGCTTCTGGCCTCTTTCCTTGGGGAGGAGGAGGGAAGTGGGGAGGGGACAGTAGCCCGCGCCCTACGGTGGGGGCACGCAGCAGCCTAGGGAAGGAAGGGGGACACCGCTCCCCTGGAGCCCATGGTGGCATTAGCGACCCTTCCTTCCTTCCTTTTGCGCCCCATCATGGCGACCAGTCGCCTCCTCTCCGAACCCCGCCGCAGGGCCTTTTGGCCCTGGGCTGGGACTAGGAAGTGGGGGTGGGTGGCGGTGGACTCGGTCCCTGACCGAGGGGGGCTGAGGGCCGGCTCCTCCCCCTCTGAGAAGCTTGGTCGACCAGCCTCCCAAAACCGCTGGCGCAGGGCAGGGCGGCTGCAGAGACAGAAGGTTGCGTGGTGGCTCCGGGTCGACCAGATGGCCCGGCCCAGACAGTCTCTGGCGGTGGCGGCGGCGGTGGCGGCGGTTGGGACCGCAAGAGACGGGGTCGATCAGATGGCCCGGCCCAGACAGTCTCTGGCGGAGGCGGCGGTTGGGACCACAAGAGATGGGGTCGACCAGATGGCTCGGCCCAGACAGTCTCTGGCGGAGGCGGCGGTTGGGACCACAAGAGATGGGGTCGACCAGATGGCTCGGCCCAGACAGTCTCTGGCGGAGGCGGCGGTTGGGACCACAAGAGATGGGGTCGACCAGATGGCTCGGCCCAGACAGTCTCTGGCGGAGGCGGCGGTTGGGACCACAAGAGATGGGGTCGACCAGATGGCTCGGCCCAGACAGTCTCTGGCGGAGGCGGCGGTTGGGACCACAAGAGATGGGGTCGACCAGATGGCTCGGCCCAGACAGTCTCTGGCGGAGGCGGCGGTTGGGACCACAAGAGATGGGGTCGACCAGATGGCTCGGCCCAGACAGTCTCTGGCGGAGGCGGCGGTTGGGACAAAAAAAGGATTCAGCCCTGGCAGGTGTTGCTCAACTGCTGGAGTGTCTGCTGGTGCACCGAAGGGTCACGGGTTCGATTCCTGGTCCAGGGCACATACGTGGATTGCAGGTTTGATCCCCCACCCAGGTCAGGGTGGGTGTGGCACATGCAGGAGGCAACCAGTGGATGTGTCTCTCTCACATCCGTGTTTGTCTCTCTGTCTTTCTCTCTTTCTCTCTCTCTGTGTCCCTCCCATTCTCTAAAAATTATTGGCAAAAATATTCTTGGGTGAGGATTAACAAAAGGAAAAAAAGAAAGGGAAAGAAAAAGGGATTCAGCTCCGGCCAGTGTGGCTCCATTGAGCGCCCTGACCTGCTTACCGAAAGGTGGCGTGTTAGAGTCCAGGTCAGGGCTCCATCCCCAGTAGGGGGCGTGCCGGAGGCAGCCCATTGATGTCTATCATCGGTGTTTCTCTCTCCCTCTCCCTTCCTCTCTCTCTTAAAAAAAGAAATAAAAACGTATTAAAAAAATAAAACAAAAAGGTGTTTATTGGATTCCTTTCAGGGGCAGGGCTTCGCAAGTCCCGTGTTGTGACCTTCCCCCTGCTCATGTACGAGGGGACCGCTCCCTCTGCTGGGGCTCGGTAGGGAGGGCAGCAGAGTGCAGACTTGGTTTGCCTGTGGGGCCACAGGAAACTTGGTGTTAAATCAGAAAAATGCGGTGCCGCCTGAAGTGGGGGCTGGTGCAGGGGCAGTCACGTCTATGGGAGCAGAGGGGCCTCCAGAAGCAGGCCTTCTATTTGCCGTGGCTTGTGGCTCCATTGGTTGGTTTGTCCCAAAAGGTTGCAGGTTTGATTCCGGTCAGGGCACGTACCCAGGCTGTGTTTCCATCCTCACTCATTCATTGCACATACCAGAAGCAACCGATGGATGTTTCTCTTTCACATTGATGCCTCTCTCTTTCTCTCTCCTCCTCCCCCACCCCCAAATCAATAAACATATCCTCAGGTGAGGGTAAAAAATACACCCAACTTTTATTTGTGTGTGTGCGCACACATTCAGGTGTGCAGGTGTGTACAGACATATGCGTTGTGCACACACACAGTGGCATTTAAAATAGAGGAGGACTGGAATATTGTTACTGATATGACTTATTTATTTATTTAAAATTAATTTTATTGACTGATAATTACAGAGTAGAAGAGAGGTGAGAGAGAGAGAGATAAATATCAATGTAAGAGAGACACATCGATTAGTTGCCTCCCGACAAGGGCCAAGGATCAAGCCTGCAACCGAAGTACGTGCCCTTGACCGGAATTGAACCCAGGACCCTTTAGTCCACAGGTTGATGCTCTATTCACTGAGCCAAACTGGTCAGGGATGAGATGATTTTTTTAGATTGTGAAAGAAATTTAACAGTAAAATAAATTCCAGGGCCCTAGCTGGTGTGGCTCGGTGGATAGAGTGTTGGCCTGCAGACTAAAGGGTCCCAGGTTCGACTCCGGTCAAGGGCACATGCTTGGGTTGTGGGCTCAACCCCCAGTGAGGGGCGTGCAGGAGGCAGCCCATCAATGGTTCTCTCTCATCATTGATGTTTCTATCTCTCTCTTCCTCTCCCTTCCTTTCTGAAATCAATAAAAATATATTAAAAAAATAAATTCCAGCCGAAACCGGTTTGGCTCAGTGGATAGAGCATCCGTCTGCGGACTGAAGGGTCCCAGGTTCGATTCCGGTCAAGGGCATGTGCCTGGGTTGCGGGCACATCCCCAGTAGGAGATGTGCAGGAGGCAGCTGATCGATGTTTCTCTCTCATCAATGTTTCTAACTCTCTATCTCTCTCCCTTCCTCTCTGTAAAAAAATCAATAAAATATATATATATATATATAAATAAATTCCAGGGATAGTAAACATCAAAACCAAACTATTTAATTAATTTATTGATTTGAGAGAGAGAGAGAGAGAGAGAGAGAGAGAGAGAGACATCTGTTTGTTGTCCCACTTACTGATGCATTCACTGGTTGGTTGACTCTTATATGTGCCCTGACCAAGAATTGAACCTGCGACCTTTTGGTGTATGGGACAATGCTCCAACCAATGGAGCACACCAGCCAGGGCAACTGCTACACATTTTAATCCTCTTATGTTTACTCAAGTGAGCGCTGGGTACGAGGAACGGTAAAGATCTTGCATGTGCCTTCAGGAAACTGTTACCGCATGCAGCGTAAGCAGGCTGACAGTGCGTGTGTGTGTGCTCGTCTCTCTGCAGACTGACATACTGCTGCCTCACCTCTGACGCCTGTGACTACATCGCCCAGGCCCTCGTGCGGAGCACCACTCTGTCCCTTCTTGATCTGGGGTCCAATTTCCTGGAAGACAGTGGAGTGAAGCTTCTCTGTGAAGCATTGAGGCAGCCAAGCTGCAACTTACAGCAGCTGTGGTAGGTCTGGCTACAATTGACTCAAATGTCAGGTGGTTTTTGATGCTGGAGTCCTATCCTGCAAAGGACACAGGAAGGAGGGAAAGCGTGGGGTCTGCTGGGAAAAAAAACAAGGCTAAGTGTTGACCCCACTTGGTACTTCTAGGAATGCCAGTGGTGTGTTGATGCGTGTGTGTCTTAATTAAAGGGCTCCTGGAATTTTGAGACATGCTCCTCTGTAGTTGGGTCTCGGGGCCCTCTGTGCCCTACACTCGTTGGGTGAACGTGTGAGGGCGCCGCCCCTCTCCCCATGAGGATAAGTATATTGCCCACCTGAAAGAATTGAGGCACCGAGTGGGAATGATGCACATACAGAAACATTACCGATGATTTGCCCATGACCAGTGCATGATTGATAACAGTAGGAGACACCTCATGGGAGCATTCATTCCTCCTGTGGGTAGATGAGGAACATGGTAACTGAAACACTCCATCAGCCCTGTTTCTATAGAAGTCGATTTTATGGAATTTCATATGCACACATAGGTGTGTGTACATACACACACATGTGAGTGTGAGGCTGCAAGTAAGTGTATATTTGTGTATATATGGTGGGTTCTCAGTCTTGGCATGGTTGACATCTGGCCCAGATCATTCTTTGTCATGGGAGTGCTGTCCTGTGCTTTGTAGGATGTTTTAACCGAACAGGGATGTTGGTAGCACCCTGTGTCCTAGTGTGGCAACCAAAAATGTCTCCAGGCATTGCCCAATGTCCCCTGGGAGGGGCATGAGCAAAAATCATCTTTGCTTGAGAACCACAGATAAGTGTACACACAGCAATACACACATACACATGCATGTATCAGATGTATTACACATAAGTGTGTATGTATGTGTGCCTATATATGCATGCCCATAGACACTCACTCATGCAGGTATACATGTCAGACTTATGCACATGTGTGTGTATATGTGTGCATGTGTATATAGACACATGTATGTTAGCAGGTGATGAGTACTGTGGAGAAGCATGAGCTTAAATGCAGTGAGGAGACTGGGACATGATACTATGTAAAGTATTCAGGGCAGTCCTCACCAAAAGGTGCCATTCGTGGAGAGATTTGAAGGGCGTGAGGAGTAGCCTTGCTAGTATTTGAGCCAAGAGCATTCCCACCAATGAGAACACTAACAGCAGAGGCCCCCGGGCAGAGAGGCCATGAGGGCAGGAGAATTTCAGGGAGCCCAGAGTGCTGGGCCGAAGAGATGGAACTGAGAAGTTGTAGGATCTTCATCATCACAACAATCACCACCCCCCATCATCACCATCACCACAGTCACCACAATCATTATCATCACTAGTGACTGTTATCATCACTATCACCATCACCATAACCTTCATCATCATCATCTCCAGCATCATCACTATTATCATCACCACCACCACCATCACCACCATCATCACCATCATCACCACAATCACCATCACTATCATCACAATCTCCATGACCACCGTGACCATTATCACTACCACCATCACCCCACCACCACCACCATCACCACCATTATCATTATAATCATCACCACAATCACCATCACTATCATCACAATCACCATGACCACCGTGACCATTATCACTACCACCATCACCATAATCTTCCCCACCATCATCATCTCCAGCATCATCACCACTATTATCATCACCATCACCACCATCATTACTATTATCATCACCATCACTACCACCATCATCACCATCACCACCACCACCATCATCATCTCCATATCACTTCCAGCATCACCATCATCATCATTACAACCTCCACCATCATCACTATTATCATTAATCATCATCACAATCACCATCACTATCATCACCATCATCACAATCACCATGACCACCATGACCATATCATCACTACTACCATCACCATAATCTTCACTATCATCATCACTATTATCATCGTCATCACCACCACCACCACCATCATCACCACCACCATCATCACTATCATCATCATCACCATCTCCTGCGTCATCACTGTCATCATCATCATCTCGGAAGCGCTCGGGCATTTCATCCTTCATAGCAATAAGTGAAAGTAAGCTGAGGCATTCAAGCCTGGACCTCATGATTGTGTCTGTTTATGTGTGTATCCCCCCCCTCAGGTTGGTGGGTTGTTACCTCACTCCTGTTTGCTGTGAGGACCTCTCTACTGTTCTTATTAGCAACGAAAAACTGAAGACTCTGAAACTCGGGGAAAATAAAATACAAGATGCTGGTGTCAAACAGTTATGTGGGGCATTGAAGCACCCTAACTGTAAACTGGAGAATCTTGGGTGAGTGTGTACTGATGGTCTTTGTGGGAAAGCTTCCCTGTTTCAAGAATAGGAACAGCTGGAGGATTCCCAGGACTGAAGGGAAGCAGTTTCAAAAACAAGTGGGTCTGGAACTGTCTAAGTAAAGTGCTGTCCTTGGCACTACGTATTGACATTTGGGACTAGATTGTTCTTTGTTGTGACGGGGAGAGGGGACTGTCCTGTGCACTGTAGGATGTTTGGCTGCGTCCCTGGCTTCTTTCTACCCACCAGCTGCCAGTAGCATCCCCAGGTGTGTCGAATGTCTCCTGACATTGCCACGTGTCCTCCAGGGGACACAATGGTCCCAGTTGAGAACCACTGGTCTAGACCATCAAGTCTCCTGCTCAGACGCGTGAAACTGGCATTTCACAATAGCGTGCCTTCCAGCCCAGCCAAAGCCGGGTGGTTTCTCTGGTGTGCTTCTCTGTGGCAGGCTGGAGCTCTGTGAGCTCACCACTGCCTGCTGTGAGGACCTGGCCTCGGCTCTCACCATCTGCAAATCACTGAGGGGCCTGAACCTGGAATGGAACAGCTTGGACCACGATGGGATGGTGGTGCTGTGTGAAGCCTTGGGCCACCAGGACTGTGCACTGCAGCTGCTCGGGTGAGTGGACGCTTGTCTTGGTGGTGAGTGATCTCAGAGTGACATTCATCTCCGGGGCAGGTCTGCTGAGCCTCGGTACAATGGACGCGGGGGCTGCAGAGCTCTTGGCTGCATTGCAGAGTGTTGAACAGCATCCCTGGTGTCTACCTGCACGTCGCATGCCCATAGCACCTCTCTCCAGTTGTGATGATAAAAAATGGAAACTTTAGCGGGGCCAGTGTGGCTCAGTGGTTGAGTGTCCACCTATGAACCTAGAGGTCATGGTTCCATTCCTGGTCAGGGCACATGCCTGGGTTGTGGGCTCGATCCCCAGTGGGGGGGGGGGACGGGACACGTGCAGGAGGCAGCCGATCAATGATTGTCTCTCATCATTGATGTTTCTATATCTTTCTCCCTCTCCCTTCCTCTCTGAAATCAATAAAAAATATATTAAAAAAAGATCTAGTCTCTTAACAACTTTGAAGTTCCCATTTTCAAATATATTTATTGTTATTGCTTTCAGAGAGGAAGGGAGATGGAGAGATAGAAACATCCACGATGAGAGAGAATCATTGATCAGCTATCTCCTACATGCATCCCACTGGGGATCGAGCCCACATCCCGAGCATGTGCACTGACCAGAATCAAACCTTGGACTCTTCAGTCCACAGGATGATGCTCTATCCACTGAGCCAAACCAGCTAGGGCAAGAGACTAGATATTATTTGTTCTCACCAAGAAAAATTATTATTATATGATGTGATGGAGATTATCATATTGCAATATACTACAGATATATTGAACCAACCCGTTGCACACCTTAAACTTATACGATGTTATATGTCAATCGACTGAGCCAAACCAGCTAGGGCAAGAGACTAGATCTTATTTGTTCTCACTAAGAAAAATTATAATTATATGATGTAATGGAGATTATCATATTGCAATATACTACAGATACATTGAACCAACCCATTGCACACCTTAAACTTATACGATGTTATATGTCAATCACATTTCAACAAAAGTGAATTAATTTAAAAAAGACTGGCTATCCCATTAATTCCCTGAAGTTTAAAAAAAATGTCTCCAGACATTGGCAGATGTCCCCTCAGAGGCAAAATTGCCCCAGGTGAGAAGCACTTTTTTTGCTAGACATACCATCTTCTACTTATGCTGCCCCAAAAGATGCAATCCCAGCTCAGAGATAGGAGGGGTTCTATAGATAGCTGAGCAGGGTTCTTGACTCAGAAATTTGTTCCTGAATCAAGAGTAGCACTTACTATTGTTCCGAACATTGTATCTGCGTTTAGAGTGGACATAATGGACACCTGTAGAGAAAATACTTGACTCCTTTCCAGATGCTAGGCCGATGGATGAACAAAATGGTTCACTTCACTACTGTTCATATAGCTATTCTACAGGAAAGGTGTGTGCTTTCTCTTTAAAAAAATTACTTTTTTAAAATACTTAATTTATTGGGCAGTGACATTGGTTAATAAAATCATACAGGTTTCAGGCATATAATTCTACAATACTTCATTTTCATATTGTACTAGGGGCCCAGTGCATGGATTCGTGCACTGGTGGGGTCCCTTGGCCTGGCCTGTGCCCTCTCGTAATCTGGGACCCCTTGGGGGATGTCGGACTGCTAGTTTCGGCCCTATTCCCACAGGCCAGATCAAGGGACCCCACCGGTGCACAAATCCATGCACTGGGCCTCTAGTATGTATATAAGATCTTTGGTTAATCTCTTCCCACCCTCCCCACTTCCCTCTGAGATTCATCAGTCTGTTTCATGTTTCCATGCCTGTGCATTGAGTGTCTGCCCCCTGGTGGTCAATGTGCATTAGAGCTACTGGTCGAACAGTCGAACGATTGAATGGTCACTTAGGCTTTTATATATATAGACTAGAGGCCCATTGCACGAAGAGATTTATGCAATAGGTCTTCCCTTCCCCTGGCTGCCGGCATTGGTTTTCCTCCGGCACCTGGGACCCAGGCCTTCATTCCAGCCAGAGCCTTCAGTCTTCACTCTGCCCCTTTGCCCCCATGTATGCAAATTAACCACCATCTTTGTTGGGTTAATTTGCATACTCTCCTGATTGGCTGGTGAGTGTAGTGGAGGGATGGTTCATTTACATGTTTGTCTATTTTTAGGTAAGATTGTGTGTTTACCACCCCAAGTCAAGTCTCCTTCCATCACCATTTATCCCCCCTTTACCCTCATCAACCTCCCCCAACCCCTTTCCCTCTGGCAATGACCACACTGTTGACTGTGCCCATGAGTCTTTCTCTTCTTTTTTTTCCCCTTTTTTGCTTAATCCCTTCACCCTTCACTCAGCCCCCAACCCACTCCCCTCTGACAGCTGTCAGTCTATTCTATGTATCCATGAGTCTGGCTTCACTTCTCACCTTCCGTGCAAGTCCCCCAGTCGTGTCTAGGGGAGGGTGGCATTGGGGTGCAGAGAGGGCAATTATGTCTATCTCCCCAGGCTGGACAAAGATGCATTTGAGGCGGAAACGCAGTGTCTGCTGAAGGCTGTGGAAGAGAGGAAGCCGCAGCTGACCATTTGCAGTAAACCTTGGAACAGAGATGAGCTGATGCTGAAAGGTGTGTTCGTCTGACAGGGAGCACCCTGGCGTCATCTCCTTTGGGCACAGCCAGTCCTGCAAACTGGCCATTAGGGCGGTGGGTGCTGTGAGTTCCTAGCTGCTCCTCCACAGTGTTCTAGCAAAGTCACTGTGGAAAGTGAGTCAGTGGGGACCTGCTGTTTGTGCCCAAGACCTCAATCCCCCATCCTTGAAATTTCCACCCCACCTGGTAATGCTTAGAAGAACAAATACATTAAAGGGCTACACACTTTGGAAAGCATGCCTTCACTGTCTTCATGGATGTCTTCAAACGCGGGCGCTTGGGTTTGAGGGAACCACCATCCTCAGACACTTCTGAGGGAGAAGTGATGCTACAATGGGTCCATGGGTTTTAGATTTCATCATTATCACGACAGCAAACATCCACCCAAACAAGACATTTTTAGTTCTCTGGTCTCAATTTAGATTTTTAAAAATATGTATTTGTATTGATTTCAGAGAAGAAGAGAGAGGGAGAGAGAGATAGAAACATCAATGATGAGAGAGAATTGTTGATCAGCTGCCTCCTGCAGGCCCTTTATTGGGGATGGAGCCTGCAACCCGGGCATGTGCCCTGACTGGGAATTGAACCATGACCTTCTGGTTCATAGGTCGATGCTCAACCACTGAGCCACTCCGGCTGGGCTCAAATTAGATTTTTTGAAGATTCAATTTATTGGGGTAACATTGGCTAATAACATGATATAACTTTCAGTTGTACAACATTACCATTTGCTATCTGTCCATCCTGTTGTGTGCTCAGCGCCCAGAGTCTAGTTTCTTTCTGTCACCACATATTTGGCTCCCTTTACCAAAGTTGCCCTCCCCACTCTCTTCTTCCGCTGGTGATCACGATTCTGTTACTGTATCTATGAGTTTGTTTTGCTAGTTCCTTTTTGTTTTATATTCCACATATGAGTGCAATAATATTTTTTGTTCTTTTTGATCTGACTTATTTTACTTAGCGTAGTACTCTCAAGATCTATCCGTGTTGCCATCACACACAATATTTTAAAATCTTTGTTTATGTCTGAATAGTATTTCATTGTATGTATGTGTGCGTGCGCATGTGCATAGACAATGCAATTGTATATGCACACATATGCATATAGGGTGGGGCAGAAGTAGGTTTACAGTTGTTTATATGGAAAAATATAATTAATAAATAAGAATATAAGAATAAACTGTGTTTTGTGTACTCACAACTGTAAACTTACTTTTACCCCACCCTGTATACATATACACATACATATACATACCATGTCATCTTTATTCACCTGTCAATGGACGCTTAGGTTGTTTCATGTCTTGGCTATTGTAAATAGTGCTGTAATGAACATACGGGTACATATCATTTTTAGGGGTACATATATTTAAAAAACATTTAATTGAATTTATTAGGGTGACGTTGGTTAATAAAATTATATACTAGTAAGTTTCAGGTGGACAGTAATACATCATCTGTATATGGTATTGTGTGTTCACCAACCCAAGTCAAGTCTCCTTCGTCTCCATTTATTCCCCCTTTGCCCTCTCCTACCTCCTCCACCTCCCCTTTCCCTCTGGCAATCACCATACTGTTGTCTAGGTCTATGAGTTTCTTTTCTTCGCTTAATTCCTTCACCATTTTCACTCAACCCGCCAACCCCCTCACCTCTGACAGCTGTCAGTCTGTTCTCTTTATCTATGAGTCTTTCTATTTTGTTCATTAGATTCCACATATAAGTGAAATCTTATGGTACTTGTCTTTCTCTGACTGGCTTCTTTCAGTTAGCATAATAATCCCTAGGCTCATCTACGCTGTCACAAAAGGTAAGATTTCATTTTTTTTTTAACAGCTCAGTGGTATTCCATGGTGTAAATGGACCACAGCTTTTTTATCCACTCATCTACTGATGGACATTTAGGCTGCTTCTAAATCTTGCCTACCCTATATAATAAAACCCTAATATGCAAATCGACCGAATGGTGGAAAGACCAATCGCTATGACATGCACTGACGACCAGTGGCCAATGCTCAATGCAGGAACTGCCCCCTGGTGGTCAGTGCGCTCCCACAGGAGGAGCGCTGCTCAGCTAGAAGCCAGGCTCATGGCTGGCGAATGCAGCAGCAGTGGCGGGAGCCTCTCCTGCCTCCGCTGTAGGTGGGCAGTAAGAAGCGAGGGGTCCCAGACTGTGAGAGACCCAGACTGTGAGAGGGATGTCTGACTGCCAGCTTAGGCCCAATCCCCCCAGTGGGCAGACATCCCCTGAGGTGTCCCTGACTGCGAGAGGGTGCAGGCCGGGCTGAGGGACCCTCCCTCTCCCAGTGCATGAATTTTGTGCACTGGGCCTCTAGTTGTAAATAATGCTGTAGTGAACACAAAGGTGCATATATTCTTTCAAATAAGTGTTTCAGGTTTCTTTGGATGTATTCCCAGAAGTGGAATCCCTGGGTCAAAAGGCAGTTTAATTTTTAAAAAAATATATTTTATTGATTTTTTACAGAGAGGAAGGGAGAGGGATAGAGAGTTATAAACATTGATGAGAGAGAAACATCAATTCAGCTGCCTCCTGCACATTCCCTACTGGGGATGTGCCCGCAACCAAGGTATATGCCCTTGACTGGAATCGAACTTGGGACCCTTCAGTCCACAGGCTGACACTCTATCCACTGAGCCAAACCAGTCAGGGCTAATTTTTTAAAAAAATTCTGTCCACATTTATTTGCTCTTCGGCCTGGTCCTGCCCCCACCCCTAGCACCCGCGCCCCCCTCATCCCCACTCAATTGCCAGTCTCTCATCTCCACAGACAACTGGTCAACCCAATCACTCTGACCTGCCACTAGAGACAAATTCCGGCCCAGCCATCTGGTCGACCCTGTCTCTTATGGTCCCCACTACCGCTGGAGACTAAGCCCGGGCCCGGCCATCTGGTTGACCTGGCAACTATCAGTCCCTACCACCACCCTGTGCCAGCGGTTTTGGGAGTGCTGGTCAACCTGGCTCCTCGGAGGGGGTGGAAAAAAAGGGGAGGAGGGAGCCCACCCACGCCCCCCCTCTGGGAAAGGAGCCGAGTTCGCCACCACCCATCCCACTTCCCTGTCTCGGCCCAGGGCCCAAGGCCCTGGCGGGGTTTGGGAGAGGAGGCAACAGTCACCGTGCTGGGCGCAAAAGGAAAGTCATTTTAAATTTTTTTAAAAAATATTTTTTATTGATTTCAGAGATAAAGGGAAAGGGAGAGACAGACAGAAACATCAACAATGAGAGAGAATCCTGGATCTGCTACCTCCTGCACACCCCCCACTGGGGATGGAGCCTGCAATCCAGGCATGTGCCCCTGACCAGGAATTGAACCCCGACCCTTCAGTCCACAGGCCAACACTCTATCCATGGAGCCAAGTCAGCTAGGGCTCTTATTTATCTTTGTTTTATTTGTAGCTAGGGCTTGTTTTTAATTTTTGAGGAAATGGCCTACAGTATGGATCTCTCAGGCGTGCCTGTACGTGTGTGTGTGTGTGTGTGTGTGTGTGTGTGTTGAGCAGAGGAAACTTTGCTCAATTATAGATGTTCCACTTTTAAATTTCAGGGGAGATATAAAGGGCCTGTCCCTCCGCAGTGAGGCTGCTGTGCCTCTCCAATATTTAGATTTGACCAGTTTCTGGTCTAATAGAAATTACGTTTCCAAATCTCCACTCCTCCTTTCATGTAGGACACCCTAACTAGCTTTTTAAAATATTAGTATTATCTTTTTCAAATGTATCCACCCAGCTTAATTCAATGTTTTCCTTTGCAAGCATACATAAACACCTGTCATAATTCAACATTGCCCGGTTCCCCTTTGCCTGTACATATAACATTCATGCCTCTTGACCCTACATGAGATTTGATTTACGTTGAGTGTAATTTTAAAAAATATATAATAAATTTTATTTTTAATATGTATTCTTATTTAGATTTTTAAAATTAATTTTTAGAGAAAGAAAGAAGAAATATGAGAGAGGAGAGAAAGGAACATTGATTGGCTGCCTCCTGCATGCTCCTAATCCCGGCCATGTGCCCTGACCAGTAACTAAACCAGCAACCATGTGGTGTATGGGACAATGCAAGCCAACTGAGTCATATGGGCCAGGGCAACCACCTTATTTTTTAGAGCAGTTTATGTCGACAGTAGAATTGAGAGGAAGGTACAGAGATATCTCATAGATGAGAGACATACTCGCTGCTACCACATGTGCCTAGTTGAACTAAACCAAGGGTGGGAACCTTTTTTCTGCCAAGGGCCGATTGGATGTTTACAGCATCATTCACAGGCCATACAAAACTATCAGCTTAAAAACCAGCCTGCTAGCCCTGCCTGGTTTGGCTCAGTGGATAGGCACAGTTGGCCTGTGGACTGAAGGGTCCTGGGTTCAATTGTGGTCAAGACACATGCCCAAGTTGCAGGCTCAATCCCCAGTAAGGGGCGTGCAGGAGACAGCCGACCAGATTCTCTCATCATTGATGTTTCCACCTCTCTCTTCCTCTCTGAAATCAATAAAAATATATTTAAAAAACCACAAAAAAACAGTACGTTTAAAAAAATAATTAGCCTGCTATATTTGGCCAAACAACTGACTTAGCTCTAATCCCTTGGCAGGGCCAGACCAAATGATTTCACAGATCTTAAATCGGGTCAAAGTCCCTGATTTAACAGGTCTAACAGTTGATAAATGGCAATAATGATCCCATCCTACTGGTATTGATGCTATTGTCAATGGTGCCATTGGAAACATTATTCTAAAAAGAGTATGAAAATGCAAAATATATGGAATATTTCAAGCAATCTCAACAACTAATGAATCAAACGACTTGCCATATTGAACATTTCCTATGACTCAGGGTCTTTTCATGTATAAATTTTCTCTTTATTATTCTGCCCAATTTTCGATGTGTTCTTTTGCCTTTACCTCAATGTTAAGAGTTCTGATGGTGTCCCTCTATCTGTCCTATGTACCACCTTCTCTGAATCCTGTCTGTATGTCAGAACAACTTCTCCCCGGGGATAAGCCACACAAAAATAAAGGACACCATGTTCGTTGTCCATTGAGGAACAAAGGAACGGGGTTCAATGGATGACTATGTCCTGGTCTCCTGTGGAGTCATGTAGACTTTGGGGCCGGAGAGGGTGGGGAGGGGTGGCTAGGGAAGGTGGTGTGGGGAGCAGGGCTGGTTCTTGAGTCAGGAAGTGGGAGCGTGAACACATCTTCCATCACTCAGTCCCCACAAGGCAGCTGCCTCACGCTGTAGAAGACAATCATAATCAACAGATTCAGGTCAGTGGCTGTAACTGGTGACATTATCACAGTCCACTTCCTGCTCACAGTGTCCCACTGACACCCCACCACCCAGTCCTCCCCTCTGCCCACCCCTCCCCACGACAGAGTCTCACCTCTAGAAGCCGAGAAAGACACATCAGAGCCCTGGGCACTGTCACTGCCTGGGGGACACACACCAGGATGGGGTTAGAGCCCCAGGACAGAAGACTAAGGAGGAACTATGGTGGTGAGGACCCCATGGGCTCATGTCAGTTCTGTCCCAGTGACTCAGGGGTCTCCCCTCCATACTCACTGGCAGCCTGAGCATAGCTCCCTCCTTTCCCACCTGCGGGAAGAAAACATCCCGTAAGAGACCAGGGAGGAGGTAGGGCCATGAGGTCCTAAAGGAAGCCCTAGTCCTGGGCCCCAGAGAAGTATCCAGAATCCTGTGTAGAGACCCAGGGCAGGATCAGGAAACCTGAGGGCAGTGCATGGGTGAGGACTGGACCCACCGCCCTCCTGGAGGTCTTTGCTCAGCAGGGACCTGCCCTCTGACCGGGGACTGCTGGGAACTGGGTCCCCACCACCAGCACCATCAGGTGATAAGTGGGTCCCTCATTTTCCCACGGGCCTCACTACAGAGTAAGTGTGAGCACAGAGCCCCACACTGGCCATCACATGCGTGGGGATGGTGCTTCCCATGAAGGAGGCAGGACTCGAGTCTACCTGGGCCTGAATCCCCAGTGGGACAGACACTCAGACCCCACCCCTGCCCACCTGAGCGCCTCCTCCCCCACATCACAGCTCCAGCCACAGCTCCCAGCAGAACCAGGCACCCAGCGATGCCCATGATGATGATGAAGGTGTGAGAAGGCGGCTCTGGAAGGAGAAGGGAAGGGAGGGTGAGGGCCCTGACCCCAGGCCTCAGCCCCCAACCCTACTGAGCTCCCCCCCGGGACCCCTGCTGCCCTGAGAAGAGGCTCTGTGCCCACGGCCCCTACTCACCCCATCTCAGGGTCAGGGGCTCAGGAAGCCCCTCGTGCTGCACATGGCACGTGTATCTCTGCTCCTCTCCAGGGGGCACCCCCACGGCCGCCCACTTCTGGAAGGTGCCGTCCCCCGCAGGCCTGGTCTCCACCAGCTCCATGTCCTGGGTCTGGTCCTCCCCGTCACGCTGCCAGGTCAGGCTGATGTCCGCAGGGTAGAAGCCCAGCGCCCAGCACCTCAGGGTGACCTCACTGGCAGAGACGGGGTGGTGGGTCACGTGAGCCTTTGGAGGGTCTGAGGGGAGAAGAGAAAATGCAGAAACTTTGCATCCACCATGGGACACTCCAGCAGTGCCCATGTGACCATCCTGAGAGTGGACAGCCACCTGGGGTGTGGGAGGGAGCACACAGCCAACACACCAGCCTGGACAGAGGTACCTGAAAGGATCTCCTAGTCTTTAGAAAGTTCTAGAATCAGAGAGACACAGCCCAGGGCAGGAGGCCATGTGACTCATAAAAGCTGGGGTGAGGCCTCAGACACAGTGGGTGTGGGCAGCGCACAAGGTCTGAGGGAGAAGGTCCCCGTGGGTCCCAGAGCCCCTGCAGGGCCCATGGGAACCATTGATGGTTTACTTCAGGGGGGTCTCCCTGCACCCCAGGAGAGCCTGCACCCCTAACTCTCCCTGAGAAGAGGTGGGTCGCTCTGGTACCTGACCTGACATCCAGTGGGGCTCCCTCCCTGACCCAAGTAGGGGTATCATAGACTGACCCTCTGTCCTGTCTCCTTGTAGGAACCCCAGCCCCGGGGAGAGGGGGCGACCCCAGGGCCCCTGGTACCTGCTCGCTGCAGGGTCTCCTTCTCTTTTTCCAGGCACATGAGCAGTGACTCCACACACAGGCCCTCCAGGTCGCTCCTCACACGCTTTGCCCAACCCTCCGCCTCCCACTTGCGCTGGGTGACCTGAGCAGCCATGTTGGCCGCATTCCAGGAGGTCAGGTCCTCATTCAGGGCGAGGTAGTCGGCGCCATCATAGGCCCACTGACTGTACCCGCGGAGGAGGCGCCCGTCGGGTCCCACTTTGCAGCCGTACATCCACTGGAAGGTGTGAGACCCTGACCCCGC